TGTTGATGGATGTGCCGTTTTTGCTTTTAGGCGCATTCAATTTGTATTTATACGCAACGATAAATCATTGCTAACGAAACACGATTCAGAGCGAAGTTCGGTTATTAATGTTTAGAAATGCCATTGATCTAAGAGCTTAAAAACGCCGATAAGAAACTGCTATACATTGCGATTAACTTTTTTTTTTTTTTTAATCTCGAGTTAAAATTAAATTCGTGATAAATTTTTAAACGGGCTTATATTTAAGTGATCTATGAACATTTCAGATGATTACGTTCATTAAACGAATACCAAAAAAAAAAAAAAAAAATCGAATGTAACGAAATCTTTTATGTCGTACATTTTTCCGTTTTTCCTACGTTTTTCTCCCCGGTTATAAAGGGAACTACACGGTAAATCAAATAGAGATTTCCTCCAATGCGCCAAATAAATCTCTCGTATCGTTTTCGGTAGAAGAGTTGTGTTTACAGACAGAAAAAAATACACACACACACGTCATATTATAATAAATCCAATGCATTCCTCGCCATTCTCAGAATCTAAAAATAATTTACTAAAAAAAAAAAAAAAAAAAAAAAAATAAATAAATGTAAAAAAAAAAACGTGTAACTCTACGTTCGTTTTCATCGGACGTTCGCCATAATAATATCATAGAACATGACCCCGGCGTGAAATCGACGTTAGCTATTTAATAACATGATATAGGTACATTAAATTATTAGATTAAATAGGCAGTTGTATAGGTTATCTGAAAAAAACGAAACGAAAATAATAATCTAAACGGTATCGTATGCCCGGTGTATTATATTATGTTCAACGTGATGTCAGGGGGAAAAAAAACCAAATCCAAATTGATTGCATCACGCCTACAATATTGTTTCCACGGAACTGTGTAGTAATATAAAATTAATCTCCCACATTGTGTATCTGATATTATAATATTATATATATATATATATATATGTATAACAAAAATAATAATAATAAAAAACGAATGTAATAAAACTCACACTTATGGTCGTCTTTTATTGTAATAATATGAAACCACCGTTTTATACATTAATTGTATTTGATCATGATACCTGTAAAAACCTGTATGATTATTTGTCAAAAACGAAAAACTGTATATTAATTCACTTGTCTAAAGTCGTAGCGAATCAAAACGAATTTTTAAAAAAAGAGCTGATACTGGGGACGGGAACGGAAACTGTTGTGGGTGAGAAGCCGAGAAGGTAGGACACTTAAAGGTTATTTCGTTATTATCGTTAATTCGTTAAGCAACGGTGGACCATTGCTTAACGAAAGACGATTCCGAGCGCAGTTCGTTAATACATGACTTGAAGTGCCGTAATTTTTTTTTTTTGATTTTCGTTTAAATTTGATTTCAAAACGCTTTTATAAGAGAAAAAAAAAGTCGTCCGATAGTTTTGGAAATTTTACCAGGTCTAGGTGAGCCCAATATAAGTATTATTACCAAGTTTCAAGCTTCTACGTGTATTTATAACCGAATTACAAATGAACTACCAAAAATTAAAATTCCTTAAAAGCTCAAAAGTATTGGCGACGAAATCGTAAGAAAGCAAATCAAAAAGGCAACAAAAAAGGTGTTTTGTGATTTTTTGATTAAATAATTTTTTTCTGGTAGAAAAGGTCGTCCGTGTTTTTATAAAATAATGACGTTTCCTACGTTTTTTTTAACTTATGTGCTTTTTTTCAAAAATGGCGTTGATAATCAAAAAAAAAAATCTTTTCAAAGTATAATATAGAACACTTTAGCTCTGAGAAAAGTTACAACACATAAAAATTGAAGCAATTTTACTAGAAAAAAACGTGTCCACAGACTAGATGAAGAAAAAAATAAACAGCATTATAAAACCAATAACTCAATCGCTACGCTCGAAATCTAACAAAAGAGCCGAAACCGGGGACAGGCGCTGTAACTGTTGTTGGTGTGTAGTTGGAAGTTGGGACACATAAAGTTATTTAATTTATACCCGTAAGAAACAATAAAACATTGCTAACAAAAAAGGATTCTTAGCAAAGTTCGATAAGCAATTCTTCTTTAATAATCAATAGACAATAATAATAATAAAAAAAATAACAATGTGCGTTTTCACGACAACAACGATTGTTTAAAATAATAAAAACCTAATAATAACAAAAAATAAAAACATTTGTCGATGACAACCTTATTTTCAATCTTTTATCATTCGTTTAATCTAAAGAACCAGTTATTCCTTTTTATCTCGAATATTAATGACAATTTTAAAAAAATGACCTTTTTAAAGTACCAACTAAAATCAAAATACGAGAAAAAAGGTCTCTTGTTATGTTTTGTTTAGATCAAGATTTCTAGGATAAAAGTTGTTCATAGACAGTCAAAAAAAAAAATAAAATACATCATATCATATAGTAAAACCAATAAATCTTTCAGAATTCACTCAGAATCTAAAATTTGTTGTACTTGTACTGTTTAGGCGATTTAATAATAATTTATTTTCATACTGTTTCCATAGTGTTATCACCTCGTCAATTCAAACAATTTTAAAACTATTATATCAAAACGAATTTGGCACGGTTTAATTTTGTGTCGACTAATATTCGAAGTATCGTTTAAATTATGCTGTTCGTATTAGTCGTATTTTCTTATAATAGAGTTTGTAATATTTCAATATAGTTCTTTAAAAAAAAAAAAAACCATTTTCCCTTCTATAATAGTATATTGCTGCAGTCTATTAAACAGTAATCGTGTTGTTTGTGATGGAAATCTTGTCATCTCTGGAACTTCAGTTCCATCTGTTCACTTATCCGACGATAAGTGAATGAGACGATTTTTTTTTAGATTAAAACAAAATAATTTTACTATTATGGTGCGTTTTTTGTGTTGTGTGTCCGTAAACAATATTTCGACTAGAAATCGTATTCCAGTCAAAAACTTTGTACGAACTTTCTCGTAACCCTTTTGATGTAGTTGACATAATTTAAGAGACCATTTTTATTTCTTTGTAGTTTTCTTAACGAATCGGAAAAATTGGCAATTTTTGTTGTTTTCTGAGTTACCTTGGCAAATTAACAATAATAATAAAAAAAAATACGACTAATAATACTCTGCTCAGAATCATTAGCAACGGTTTTTCGCTGAGTAGACAAATTAAACTGCTCTGTATGTCCGCCTTTCCATTTTTTTTCTCTTAAAACAGTGACACTACCAACAGCAATATCTGCCTCTTTTTTGTTTTTTTTTTTTTTTTAAACTCGCATAGTTGGTGTATACGTATAATTATCATCGTTGCGGTCGCTCGTCGCCGGTAGGCAGCCCGGGTCAAAAACGCATTTTATCTTTGGAAGAGAAAGAGAGAGAGAGAGAGATGGAAAAAAAACATAAAACAATAATATAATAGTGTTATTAAGACGTGATGTATGTAGGTGTACACGTGCAGCAGGGTCGACGGCAGCAAAGAAATAAATAAAAAATACTATACAATATCCTCCCCCGAGGTAGGTATATAGCCGTATAGGTACTTTTTTTTTTTTTGTTCTTCTTCTCAAAAACGGTATAAAAACCGTCGGGTATTTTTATCACCCCTTCCCCGTCAATTGCAGAGTGTACCGTATACGAGTTATATCCGCAGCTTCTGCGGCGAACCGATATTTTTATGCGTCCGCGTTGTGTGTTATTGAATCGTCAGGCTCGTTAAAAAACGACTATAAGGAGGCAGAATATAATATGTATATAAAAAAAAAAAGAAGAAAAAAAAAAAAATGAAAAAAAAAACTCGTCATTGCGTTTGGCCCCGCACTAGCTGACATATTATTACGGTCTAAATAAAAGTTAACAGCCCGCCGCCGGAATCTCGTTTTTTTCCCCCAACCCCTCCCCACATTTTTTCCCGACTCCTTCACCGGTGGCGGCCTGTCGGCGCTGCTGCTGCTGCCGTTGCTGCTGCGGAGTACCGCCCGCGTCCTTCGGCGGTCTCCTCCGCGTGTCGATAATCATCTTTGCGCGCGCTCGCTCTCGCACACACACCGACACCAAAGAAGTTTTTATTACACCTCATCCTCGTCGTCGTTGGACTCGAAATAACATCTTGGTGGTCGTCCGTTGTCCGGGCGGAGAAACGCGTATATTTACATAAACACGTATAATACTTACGCGGATATCTGTGTGTGTGTATACGCGCGCGCGTATGTGTTTACAGTGTGGGACCGACGAAAAATACACACACACACACACACACACATGCCAGTGTAATGTGAGCACGTCGTCCGGAAATTAATTAAACCATAATATATTATTATTATTATTATTATTATCTTCGTCAATGTCGTCCATCGTATGTAAAATATTAGTCCCGACCGAAAGCGAACGATTATTCCCGAGCGACCACTGGACCACCGTATCATAGCAGGATCGCCGTTAGTATCGTCAGTGGCGGTCCGTTCGGCGGCGACATTTTTTGGCGTACGCCTGTTAAATAGCCCAATGGCGTTTCATATTGATAAGTAAAATCGCCAAAAGATAATTTTATCAAACAGATTTCTGAAGATTTTTCTGTTTTTTGTTATTTTTTTATCGTTTAATGTGTTTGAGAACAAAGTAATTATATTTTGTACAAATAAATCTACGTTTCATATACTAAGCACCTCAAGCACCATCATATCACCACACATGATTCTGTTACGGGTTTAACGAGCTCTTATTGACGGAAAGCACAAGCGGGTGATTCCGGTAGGCATGTGGTATTGTTTCTGTATGGTAGAGGAGGGAGTTCACTTTATAGTTGACGGTGCCATTCTCCCCGCGGAAAGGGACTAGAATACTCCCACGGTACCAGCTCTACCTGTCGTAAGAGATGACAAATGGGGTTGCGTCAGGTCGAAAACTAGTGTAAAATCCTACCGAACAGTACGTGGGAGGTCTAAATACGACTTTGGCGGATTGTGCCATCTCGGATGTGCGTGTGGACAACAGGTGAGGGGAGGTACCATAATGGCGCACGATGTTTGTAAATGATATAGCATTGATAGAACATCTGGGAGAAGTCAACAATAGGCTAGAGAAATGGAGACTAGGACTTGGAGGAAAGGGACTAAATGTGAACAGAAGTTATAAACAGAGTATGAGTATGGAGAAACAGCATGATACAGGTAACGCCATAAGAGGTTATGGTAGACAAGGTTGAGAGTTTTAAATACTTAGGGTTTTTTGTGAAAAAGAATGGTAGCTTTCGCGAGGATGTGAAACATAGGATTAATATGGTTGGATAAAGTGGAGAGAAGTATAAGTTGTTTTGTGTAACAAGATAATTATAATGAGACTTAAAGTAAAGTTCTAAAAATGTGCGGTGAGACTGATTATGTTGTGTGGTTCGGGTTGTTTTGTGGTAGACAGAAAAACATAACAGAGAATGGGTGTAGCAGAGATGACAATGCTTTGGGGGGGGGGGGGGGGTATGCGAAGTGACGAGAGAAGATAGAATAATGGATAAGTACATACGAGATAATTTAGGCATGGGTTCGATAGTAGACAAAATGAGAGAAAATAGACTGAGATGGTTTGGGCATATCATGGGGAGAGAGTAATCTGAATCAGTAAAAGTTGTAATGAAAATAATTATGCAGATGGAAAAAAGTTGAGAGGAAGACTGAAAAAGGGTCGGTTAGATGCGATTGGCAATCAATGTCAGTCTATGTATATGAGCTGGAAGATCGGTTCAAGAGGAAATTTAGAACAAAGGTGGCTTGGCGAATGTAAGTTCCTATACGAGACCAAACAGGTAAAAAAAAAAATAAATATGTAAGTTCCTACACGGAAAAAAAAAGGTGCGTATGTTAGTTCCTAGATGAATATAAACATGAGATTTCATAAATAAATAGGTAATGATAATAAAAAATAATAAAAATCCTATACGGTGGACAAACCTGGCTGTTGTTTAAACTGCTATGTATAGTGCCTGCACTTAATCAAGCTTATCGATTCATTTATCGATTACTTATAGCATCAGTCTTCTGATAGAATACATACTACAAACGCATGTGAAAGTTTTCATTCAGATTTTAAGTCAAATTTTTATCACAAACATCCACACATTTTTAAAATTATTGGAAATCTCAAACTATCAAAATGAGAACAACAAAAAGTAACACAAAAACAAATATCAGTAAAACTACGCTGAAAAAGAAAATTGTATTTATAACAAAATTTTAGATTATACAACAAACAAAGTTAATAAATACGATTATTTTAGCAAGAAATCTTGCTTCTAACATTGACTGTAGGGCTGTTTTTTGGTAGAAATTGTCTATAGTTGCATTTGGTAGATGATTTTTTGATTTTCCTTTCGAAAATCTTAGAAAATAGGAAAAAATACACGTAATCAAGATTTACGTTATTTTTAATTCTGTTTTCATGTTTTATTTCGGTTAACAAGAACCGTATGGATCTGAAATGTTCACACAATACGTATATTAGCATTTTCTAGACGTGGTTCAAATTTACAAAAACGGTTTTCGAATTATTTATAGACATGTTAAATTTTCGAGGTATTTTAATTTTTTTTTTTATTTTAGGTGGATAAAATTGTTTTAGTTGCGCAGAAACGTTTGAAAAGTATAATTGTATTTAGTGGTGAAAAAAACCTTATATTTTAGTATATTTTGTATTACGTTTGTATTTTATATACATAGCTATGAAACACGTATTCAACGTGGAAGGGGCATCAGTTCCCGATCTATTCCTCTTAAGTTTATGAATGCTCATTAAAAAAAGAAAAAAAAGAACGGTGAAACATAATAATACTATTGCTATAATGTAGAGATATTCACACTGTATGGCTTTCATGTTTCGAGTTCTGTTCATGACACTTTTCTTCAAATTGTATACAGTAAACCTCAATACCTCATCGACTATAATGATTCTGCAGTCAAACTACTACAATGCGTCTGTGTATTATTTGTTTTCTACGCGTCTTCTTGAATCTTTTCAAGAAGTTTCTTTCTATCGAATTATTATTACATATTTTGAAAAATATAAAAAAAATTTTTCACGAATTTGTAAATCACTAACAAGTTTATTTTATTTTTATTTAAATACGTTAACGCCGTAAAGGCAATGGTAAGAGAACAGTAATTAGTATACAGTTAAATTACAATGACAAGAAGATGTACAGGCTAAGCATGATTGGGACGGCGCAACGTCCTACGAAGAGGTTGATTGTGACCATAAGACGTCAGGTGAGCAGTAACGGAGAAGAAAGAATGATTTCGAGTGTAGTGTGAGGGGACACGAAAAGAAACATTTGCTAGTAAGTCAGGTGCATCGAGTGTACCATTAAGAAGAGAGGAAATGAAAATAAGGTGGGCATTTATACGACGAGAGGCGAGAGTGGAAATACTGAGGAAGGAGTCGACGCAGTCGTAATCATGCGCTGGATGAGCAATCTTCAGTTGATAGGCTGCAAACGAAAGAAAACGGTTCTAGGCCCGTTCGACGCGCAGCTGGTCACACGCAATGTAGGGGTGCCGAACGGTGACTCCGTATTCCAGGATTGACCGTACCAGACGGCAATATAAAGCATGAAGACAGGAGGCAGATTAGAAAAGGAAACATTGCGCTTAACAAACCCAAGTACCTTTAGAGCACGCCCAACAGTAACATCGATATGGTGCCCGAAGAATAAGACAAATGAAAACCAAGATCTTTGATTCCATCAACACGAGTGATAGAGGAGTCACCCAATGAATACGGATGAACAATGAAGTTAGCTATTATATAGTACCTGGATGCTTGGCTTTAGAAAATCTTGGCTTTCGAACGGAAAATTAAAATTGTTAATGTGTCATCATGATGTTGATGACGTAATTTGTGATTGGGATTATACCGAAAAACATTACAAATGACTGTAATAATCCCATCCGGGCACGTCTACAAATATTTTTTATTATTATTATTATTACTTGATACATGACACGAACTAAATTGAGTTGACGCGAATTTTTTCTGTTTCGCGTAAATTTAGACGGATAAAAATTTCGAAACTCGACGTAACGGCGTGCGACTGGAAAACGCGACCGTATAATTGCGTTATCGTTGTTCCCGTGCGCGTACCGACAATACCGTGAGTATAGAAAAACACTTACGCGGCGTATACCGCGTTCGCGGTAACCCGTCGGGATTAATTGCCGGGTAATTGCGCGCCTATACGTCATATTATTTTATATAGGTCAGGTACCCGCGGTTACCCGTACCCGACGATTAATAACCACAAACGCATCCGATAGGAAAACAATATGTGCGGTAATAGCCGCAGTAGCGGCGGCCAGCCCTTCTCCCCACCCTTCGCCAGGACAGGCAGTCGGGATTTTTTCCTCTCGTTGCGCTTTCCGTATCCATCGACGACCGCACAATAGAATAATAATTTTCTATACGGCTAAGGGGGTTCTGCCACCATAAAATGTCACCCGTACCTATTATATCATTTATAACACCGAACATGATTTCTTTAGGTTCTGAGCGTAGCGAGGAATAAACTGATTTTACAATGATGTTTGATTTTTATTTTTGTTTACCTGTGAACACCTTTTGTACCGTAAATTTCGCAACGATTTTATATGTGTAACACTTTTTCCGAATGGAAATTTGACTGTGGAGGTACTTTAGGGAGGTGTCGTTTTTTGATTTTCCCAGGAGTTGCGACCCGGACTTATGAGGAGTGCGCACGACATGTGGCTGCATAATAAACACCACTTCATATTAGCATTTCCAAGAAAAAATCATCTTTTTCATAAACTTTTATTTCATGTTCCTTTCCTTGCAGCGCCTCCAAAATTGGTATTACAATTATCGCCAGTAAATGCAACAATTTTGTGAGATAATTTATGTTTTATTAAAGCTTCTATTTTATAAAATGGAAATTTATCCGAAGTTTCTCCTTTCAAATTTGTGAACTCTAACACTTTTATGTGAACTCCCAATTTAGGATCGAAATGTCGAATAAGAATGAGGACAATTTTGAAATTCTTATGATTTGAAGTGTCGATCGTAAACGTTGCAAAATTAACAGCCTTTAGTTGGTCTATAATTTGATCCATTGCGAAAGGGGCCAATTACATTCGGAATAATTGATTTACACTTGGTACGCGCGCAAAAAAACTTCTTTTCACGCAACCTTTTTATTAAAGTAGTAGTACAATCCATTGACCTATGAAATGATTATAAACTATAGTATGAAATGAAACAATTCCCTTCTTCTGTTGCAATTTTTAGCCCCTCGCTAGTTAAGCCAGATTGTCCTTGTCTAATGAAATATCATGTTACCTTATCATTTTTCGAAGCACTAGATATGCCTAACAAATGTTTTTTTTCTTTTCCATAATATGTTGCTTGATGTTGTTTGAACGACCTCCGTGCTCGATGCGTTCGTTCATTTTTTTAATTCTATTCGTTTACATACATTTTGTGTTTGTATATTTATTTACGAGCGTTAACCATTTTAATAATTTTTGTTTTTACTTTATTATTGTATTTTTTACGATGCAATCGGCGGCCGCGCGCCGTTTCGCCCACGATTTCGTTTCCGGTTTTTCCCAACCGTTTCGGAAACCCCTCGGAAAATCCACCGTCCGTACGAAAATTTCCTTTTTAGAAAAGGCGCTGCGCTCGCACGTCGCGTCATAAGAGTATTGGCGAAAAACCGATCGATCGGTTCGGGGTCCGTTTCGGCTCTAGACGGCGGCGCGTCCGCGAGAAATCGTCAAGCTCATAATTTCCATCGTCTGGCGGACACCGCGCTTGTACAATACGGCGTGTACATAATTGCGTGTAATTTTTTTTTTTTTTTTTTGTTGCCGCCGGGACGCTGAAAACGTCAAACCGCGCGTCGCGCGTACGTATCTCGGCGAATGAAATATCATCGCGCGTTCTACGCGGATCCCCGCGTACGTATACGCGCGACAACAGGCCGACGACGCACAAAACCGGGTTTTCGCGGTTTTTCATCGGAGGTCGGTGTTTTTTTTTTTTTTTTCTTTATCCCCGGTCAGGTCGGCTCGTAAACCACGCGCGGTCGCAGGCGTAAACACTCGCGCGAGGAGTCGCGAATTACCCTTACGGCTCGCGCGCGCGTCTACGTTGCCGGCCGCACGCACGCGACGGTAATGCGCGCACAAGAGCGTACGTGCCCCGCAAAAGAGTACCGGAACGATATATTAAAAAAGAGTACCGGAACGATATATTAATATTGTTGATGCACCGCCGTATACCCACGTCGCCGGTCGCCGTTCCCCTCGTTAAATTTGTCCCGCGCGTACACGACGATAATTTTTTATCCCCGCGATTTTTTTTTTAAGTGCCGGCCGCGCGTACCTGAACGGTATCCGTACACCGCGTCCGCGGCGTTATTTATCGCGACGTAGTCTTCTGGTATTTTTTTTTTTTTTTTTTTTTTTTTTTTTCCCCGTTATCGGTCCATTCATCACGATAAGCTATCTACACGTTGGCTCGTTATTCACGCCGCGCGTACGACACGACATTTTAACACCCGACCGAGCCTTTAACGCTTTTAGATTCTGAGCGGACCGATCGAGGAATGTGATATTGGTTTTACAATGATGTTCTTATGTTTTCGGCGAACAAATTTTCTGCCAGCGATTTCGCTCCCATTTACAAGCGGCGAATTCGTTTTTCGGAAAAGAAATTCCACTGGAATGGTACTTTAGGGGCGTAATTTTTTGATTTCCTCGGGGGTTTACATAACGATTGTGAAACACCGGGGAAAAAACGTAGAAACCACGTGACAATTTACAAAATAATGCTTTACATTTTTTATTTTTTTTTTTGTTATTCAGTTGAATCCAATAACAATTTTTATAGTTATTACAATTGTGAACTTAAATCTATTTAAATGATTGACAATAAAACTATGTAAGAGTATAAAAAATAATAATAATACTTGAAAAACAATCGAGATTAAAAAATAGTAAAAAAAATAATTTAGGTAACAAACTTAGAAAAAATATGTAATTTATAAATAGGTGAATCAAAAGCATAATTAGTTTTCTGGAAAGGAATGTAAAACGTATTTGCAGATCTAGTTCGATAAAGAAGGACATTAAAATTTAAGCAGCTGAGTAATTCAGTACAATTTAAATACCAATTAACTATTTTATACGGAAACTTCAAATCAATGAATTTTCTTAATTTAATTAAACAAAAAATGTTCATACCATCGGCAAAACGTAATTTTTCAGAACTATGAAAATGTAAATCATTAATGAATACAAAAAACAAAGGAGCTAAGTGAGGTCACAGGGATCTCTCTGTGGAACGCCAGACGGAATATTGAACGGATCAGTTTTTTTATTTGACAATTTGTTTTCTGTCAGTCAAATAACAAGTCAATCAAGAAAAAAAAAGGGTAATATTATATTTGCCTTTTTTAGACGCAGTCAAATTTTCAAAATATTTGAGCCATTTTTCAAGGTAATTGTAGACATTTTAATTTTTTGGGTTTTTACGTAATTTTTTTCCGTAATGCTTGACAATTTAACAGGGGTTTCATTATGAATTGTGCTTAGTGGTCCACAAGAACGGGTTGAGTTTAATAATGTAATATGATCGGAAATCGTAAACAGTACACGACCTTTCAAACGCGTATAACCGAACTCCGGTCAGAATCGTTTTTCGTTAACAACGGTTAATCGTTGCGTATAGATATACATTAAATTACCCTTTATATCCTACCTGTTCAACTTCTCGACTACAACAGCGTCTACCCATCGTGCGAAGTATGAAGTCCGTTTTCATTTTTAAATCGTAACTTTCGGATTTTCAATCTCAATAATAATCAATAGGATAATCCTCGTTTTTTCATTGCTTATCTTTTAAGTTTACTCGTTTTCAAATGTTTTCGTTTCGAGCTCCGGCATTATGGCATCCCGCAGAGGTCTGTGCGATATTTATAGCGGAAATATAAGACGATCAGACGGTCGTTTGATTGTATACACACTGTCGACATGGATATTTATAAAATCGATACAGCAGTATTACGAGTTCACGCACGTCCCGCGAATATCCGACGGGGAACCAGAAGTGCGCGTATCGGCAATTATTTTTTGTTCGATCTTTTTTTTTATTTCACCACCGGCAATCCGGCGGCCACGAACGCTTCCGACGACGTTACCGCCGTTGTCGTTACAATAATAATTAATTGAAAACTCGTAGCTCGCCTCGCCCCGACGCTTCCGACAACAAATCGAGCACGTTTTAATCGCACGTGTAATCGCTTATTCGCGTGCACATCGTACATTATAATGTACGACAAAAACACGTATACGCGTATAAATATACATTTTTTTTTTTTTTTTTTTTTTGTAAGTGATATTCTTATACGTGCAAACATCGCAAGTGCGTTCAAACGGTATTCTTGGCAAAACACAGAACCGAGTCGGGTCAACGAAATCGGCGGTTCCCGACCGATCCATATACCATATTGTATACGTATTTATGTTCTAGGGCAGCGGTTCCCGACTTCTGTTGTTTTACGTCCCGTTCGTAGCTTTTTTTTAAAAATCTCACTCGCACCCAAAAACGTCAACTGCACCCTTTCGCCTCTACCCAATCGGTACCCGATCCCCGGTCATAATAACATTTCTATTTTTACCCGCGTTGTACAATACGAATAATTACTTCGTGGTGACCGCTTGCGCCTCCCCGGCTGTGCGTACCGCTCTAGGGTTTCCGATTTGTATTGTCGTTTACATTATTATCTAGCAATAGCAGAGCATTGCCGGGTCAGCGTTAGTATCACATAATTTCGCGTAGTACGAAATAAAAAGCTATTTAACTCGACCGGTGTTTATTAGCACGAATCGGCGGTACAAGAATATTATACGTAGAGAGAGAAGAACCAAATCAATAAAAATAAAAAAAAATGTCTCCCTAGCTCTCTAAAAATATGTCAACGGTACCTATTAAAATACAAATTATTATATATCGTGCAGTGTACGTACGCACACTCGTCGTCGTTGTTATTGGTATTTATTCCAATTATTGTGCAGTTTTAGATTCGTATATTTTATCTGCATACGAAATGATAGTAAACAGTTCTTAATAATATACATATATGTTTTAATAAAAACATAAATAATAACACGTGTAAAGAATATTATGATATTGTGTTTATCGTTCGAACAACAAATTGGTAAATTGCGATACAAATGCATAACAAAGCGTCGGTTTTTTTTTTTTATTTCAAATAAAAAAATTTTAAAATATTATAGTCGTATTTAAAGTAATATTCCGCTAGTTTCTCATATTTCCTATAGATAAATTTTATCGTCGAATGGTAATATGCGATGCGGATAGATAACAAAAATAGCGTTTACGCGATAAACGACTTTAACCTTTACATATTTTATTTTATCAAATACAGGTATATTATGGGCAAAAAATTAAAACATCATTAAATTAAAAATGCAATTTTGCACTGTTATCATATCACGCATGTGATCTGTATTCGCTCGTTTCCATTCGGCGCCTTAGAGTCTAAAGGCTACAACAAAACAAAAATAACGATAATAACATTATAACGTCATGACTTAACACAATAAAAATGCTGACACTGCCGATGGGTGTGCCGTTCTTTCAGGAGAGAAGTTGAAAAGGAGGACGTAACTCTGCACTCTAAGCAATATATTTTATATCTTAACGTAACGATAAACCACTGCTGACGAAAAACAATTCTGAGCAGAATATTGTTAATCGTATTTCGCCGCTGTTTCCGGACAACCAGAAAATCAACAAAAATTCTAATACAACAAATTCCAATTGTTCTCGTTTATTGAGACAACTACAAGGAATATCAAAAACGAATTATCAAGATAACAACCTGATCAAAATCGATAAGAGAAAGTTTCTGTTAAATTTTTGATCGAAGTAACATTTCTGGTAGACAAATCGTTTACACACATTCCTTTACACACCATTCTGTTCAAAATTGGGTGAGTTTTACTGTAGAGCTCTTAGAGTTTTAACGTTAACCAATCAGAATCGTGATTGATAAAAAAAACCATAAATATCACTGTTCGAATAT